TGTTTTCTTCCACACGCTGTCCTGCCCAGAACACAGGGAGGAACATTAGTTACCCAGGCAGAAAGCCAAGCACCAGAATACATGGAGAGGCCACAAATGCAAAGTGGACAAAAAACACATAAAAAGGTAACTGGGTAACTATTTAAACACTGAGTATAGCTCTGCTTTAATACTGAAATCCCTTTAGTCTCCCTTGACTCTGCAGAATTGCTCTACCCTACTCTGATAGCAGCAATGGGGCGTGGAATGAGAATGCAGCAAATAGAACTTTTAATATGCCCAACAGCTTTGCGAAAAAATTCATTAGAGGCTTCAGGGAACTGCAAAGTAATTACATCAAGAAGTCCTTTATTACTGTTCCAGATAACTGAAGATGCCTCTATTTCAACAAACTTCTCAAAGTGTATTAGCAGATTGGAAACAAACAAAATTCTTGAGTAAAAGACATCCCAGCTTCTAATGAACACATTTTCATCTAGACCTTTCTAAGAGACCTGACGTATTTATTATTAATAATCTTTATTAATAATCTTTAGCCCCAGCTGAATCTTTCACACTCTGAGAATAATGTTCCTTCAATGGAGAAATGACAGATACTTAACTGATATGAGAAATGTTAAGAGGACAGTTATGCCTCTACTGCATTTTGACTCAGTACTTTGAAGTCACAAACACTCCAGGATGGTCTTATACTGGCTGGCCTCTGCAGTGCCACGGGAGTGAATATTCCATGTGTCTTCCTCCATGTATTTGACTGCACCTTCTTGCTCCCCATTTGGGATAGTAACATCTTCAAAGACTGGCCCTTAATACTGTTCCTAAATATGTCATTTGGGAGCACGGACCTGATGCTCCATTTCATGAATCACTTCCAGCCATAAAAACTGACTTCCTTTAGTACTAAATTCCCCTGTACTCTAACAAAACTGGCTGACTGCTTGGAAACATACAGAAGAAATTAAATCACCTATACATCCTGAAGGGAAGGAAAGATAAAATGATACTATATTCAGAAGGCATTATATCCTGGGTGGGGTTTCTTTGTCTTCTTTTACACCTTTGAACCACGAGTTCAATAAAGGGGTAACATGTCCATCCCATACAATAGGCATTTATGGGAGATATCGTAACTGTTGGTACACTATTTCCCTTCCAACATTAATTACCCTATGACCCTACTAAGTTAGAAGAGAAAGTATTGCTTATAGGAATGAAAGGAATTGGGGGTTATAATTAGACATGAGTTTGAATGGGAGCAGTTTCCTGGAATGTTCTTGTGTTTATCAGGCTGCTCAAAATAGCTTTCCCTTCAGCTCAGGAGATCCCTCTTCAGGGAGGAGATTCTCTGATGTCTTTCAGCATTCAGTTTTGCCTGAACTTTTCTTACATGCCTGCTTATAGCTGGGGTGAGCTTCAGGACAACAGAAAGATGTCTGAGTTAATTGAATCTGATGGACAAAGTCCCCACTCATTTTATTATCTGGGTCTCCTCTACAGCAAACTGGCAACTTAATAACCTTGCATTACCTGTGCCATATGACGTAACACACTATTTTCA